TCACTTTACTTAATTCAATTAGTTTTTTGGAATGGTCTTCAATGTGTTCTAGATGCGTGACCTTTTATTTTGTTTGTATTTAAGAAACTTACTGAGTGGCAGTAGGTAATGCCAGGTAGATTGAATAGCCAGGTGCGGAAGTCCTTCTCCAAAGTAATGACCGTCGGGCTGTCCTGATACCGCTGCCATTGGTCAAGACACAAATTTGTCGCACCCGATATTGCGGCAGCCGTCAATACTGCCCAAAGAAGTCTAGACCAAAATATTGATAAATCTAGTGACCCTTAAGAAATCGTAATTACTAATCTATAAATAGCATAAAACAAAGTCGCTTTCCGCTTATAAGAAAATACAGAGTGATTTATGAGTTCGAAGGCAAAACCGCTGACGGGAACCTACTTTCCCTATACAAAGCTACTACAGCTAACATTTCACTTGCAATTTTATACAAAATGAGTACAGTGAGTTGAATACTTATTAAAACGAATTCAGTGAGATGTGTGAACATTTGAGAATTGTTTGCAAAAACGAATAGAACAGAATAGTAATGAGTTACCGTATTTTGTTCATACGCCTTCGACCTTGTCTCCTTTCTTATCCTTATCATTATCTTTATCCTCTTATCTCCGAAAATAATAGATATTATACCAATTAAACTTCTAGTCGAGTAACTTATACGAACCTTTCGATCCAGTGTCGTCTAGTAATTGCGATATGATTAAATCCATGTATATTTGTCGCCAAGCAGAAATATTTTAAGCTCCTGTGAAAAAGAAAAAGTTATATAACTGATACTCCATTTTTGCTGTCCAGCTTGCTACATTAATTTCTCCTCATAGAAGTGCCAAAATTACCAAAAATTGTGGATCCACAAATTAGAATTAGTTGCGAGAGAACACGAAATCTTCCCAAAACCTAGACAAATTCAGATGCCGTCGTCAAATTCATGGCTGGTGATGAGGTCGACGCGGTAGTTTCATCGTTGTGCAATAAGAAGTGCCAACATCTTTTATTAAACCTTTATGAAGTTTGTGTGTAGTTCAATGATTCTTAATTTTTAACAGACAGTAAAAAGTTTATAGTCGTAATACTTATGTTACGTTTTGTTCTCTGCCTACATTAATCGTGTTGTTGACTCGCAAAATATTCTTTGGAAATGCAGAACAAGACTGTTACCACAGTACTGTTAACATTATTATCGTCAATTGATCAAATCATCACTGTTCTTATGGTTATAACACGAAAATGTAGATATTTTTTAACGTTTTTGATTACATTGAGTTTTTTTAATATGCCAGGCAACATTATTACCTTTTTTTTGTGTTTGTTTATTTTTATAATATCAAATTTCTCGGCTCATTGTAACTACTGGTATCAAACATAAATTACATATTAATTAATAAATTTAATTGGTAGTTCCAATAAATGTAACTATAGCTATGTTTATAACACTATGAATTAATGATTGAACACTTTATTGTACACCACGAAAGAAAATACGAAAATACCAAGAAAATATGAATACAACTTCTGTGTCTGTGTCTCTTTTCTGTGTTCTCTAAATACAAGCATATATTTACAGAACAATCGGCGGCCTTATTGTTAAAAAGCAATTTCTTCTAGGCAAGCGTATGTTGGACTGTAAATAATTGATACTAGTATATATGGTGCATTACAAAGTAAACAAAATTACTTTTATATACGTAGAGCAAGAGCTATAATATACTCGTATATATAAAAAATACTCTTTATGTTTACCTTAAAATCCTGTCATTTATTTGATACATGACGATTCTTGAGCTCTTACATAACACTTTTCTTCAATATAGATACCAACATTATGGATGATTGCATTGTTTTTATACTTATTAGAAATTCTAGTACATAAATTGGATTTGAAGAAGCCCATTATCACATTATTTAAGGGGAAGACTTCCGCATTCTGCCAATAGAGTATCTATTCAATTGCCACTGATAACTTCTGCATTGCCTGTGCTGTGGCATTTCGTTTAGGTTGGGTAATGTTGATCATACATCAACCTCCGCTGACCAAGAGCAAGTCTCCATTAATATTTCTAAATTCAGAAACACTTCTCATAATCTAACATAATGTTAGTATTTTTAAACAGTTCCTTTTTATTCTAATCTAATAGTTTGAGATAATTTCAAAGCATAAGGTTTATCACTTTGTTTATTATTCAATGATATAAAACGCTCTTATATTCTAATAACCTCTTGCTCATCAATATTTTTTATTTCCATTAACTTAGTGAAATTGCCTCTTAACAACTCATAGATAAAATCGCTAATTATTTTACCGTTCGTGACACCATCAGGCCATGGCACTCGAAGTTATTAATAAAACCTTCGTGTTAGTTAAGCATTTTACCGTTGCTAATGTATACCGATGTCTTTATGAAATGTCATGTTTTTTCCCAGAGGTCAATTCTGATAATGTTTACGTAATAATCGCACATCTTCCTGAAGTTCAACATTATTTTGTATCTATTCAATATTATTACATGTTATCACCTGTCCCTTATTCGAAAGTTTAAATTAATATAACTCAGAAAAATAATCCAAAATAATCACTTCGAATAACAATAGAAATTAGTCCTTACCTAGTGCCATTAAGCGTAACAACGATATCATGATTTGTTTTTAGAATCTACGCATTAAAAACTGAAGTAAGTATATCTGTTTGTTATAAGGTAATGTCACCTAATAAGACCCAATGTTTTTTACCACTGGAGTGCAAAAACCTCAACCTTGACGAACGTTTTGTAACCTGCCTCTGCCTTTAATGGTTAGTCGATGCAGGACTGTAATTGAAACCCATTCTTGTTCGCTTTTTTACATCCCAGCTGTCATAACAAGTGGGCCTTATCAGGCGAAATTACCTTAGTAATAATTTGATTGATTTACACAAGGACTCAATTTCGCGAAGGACTCAAAATATACCATCACTATGGGTCTCATAAGAACGCTCACGATCACGGCAACGGAAAGAGCAATGCTTGGTATTTCTCTACGTGATCGAATTAAGAATGAGGAGATATGTAAGAGAACCAAAGTTACTGACATTGCTCGAAGGATTGCTGAGCTGAAGTGGCAGTTGGCGGGACACATAGCCAGAAGGACCGATGGCCATTGGGGTGGAAAGGTTCTGGAATACCAGACGCGTTCAGTGGGTAGGCCCACCAGGTGGACCGACGAACTGACAAAGGTTGCGGGAAGCCGCTGGATGCTGGCAGCGCAGGACCGATCGTCTTGGAGATCTATGGGGGAAGCAGTGGGCGTCGTACGGCTAATGATCATAACATAGTCAGTCTATGTCTCAAATGATTTATATGACGGCGCGTACGAGTATTTTCGTTATAGGTATTGATAAGTGTAACTATTTTCATATTCTTGTTGATGATAAACTTCCTTCTGAGAAGGGTGCGTTGGTTTTATGTTTACTCAAAATAACGATAACGCAATATCAATGCTTAGTAACAGATTATCTTGGTAATACTGCTTTTTATTATCATTGGTGTTACGCTGGAAATTGTACTATATTGCTTTTGTAATAGGCTTCTTGTTCAACTAAAATTGTTTTAACGTTTCAAAGAAATTTTCACATTACGGTAAATAAATTTAAACGGAAATAGATCATTGAGAATTTTAAAACAAAATTACTCATGATCAATTCCTTTGTTTCTATAAACGGATATCCGATATGATCATATATGTATTATGATGGGGTGAGGTTCATTAATAGACATACGTATATAACGAATCATAAAATCCCGTTTAATTTTTTCGGGCAGCTTTGTTATTGTAATAAAATCAGATTCAATCAAGGTTTATGGTTCCATAGAACTTTTATTATATTAGTAAGTAGGTTTTATTTCATTGAACGTTTACGTTCTGACAGCGCTTTTTCGACGTTGAGATCGTCGCTGAATTTATTACAGAATAGCACCGCAGTGTCTCTGATCTCAGCTCTGAAAACAACTTAGTGTATAATTAAATTCCTTACCAAAATTACTGATAAATTAAGCTTCTCGTAGGTGAAACAATGATTATAATCGGTTCAGTAATTTTGGAGCCTATCCGATGCAAAAGAACAATGAAATCTTTCCTCTTTATAATATTAGTTAAGGATAAATAAATTATCTAAACAAGAATGACCGCAATAAGCTTTAATTGAAAATGAGGTTATTTATAGTTGCTTTATAATCAAACCTCATACTAAAACTTGACTTCGGTGCGTAGATAGAACCAGAACACTTGTAGAAATTACCTACATATTGCCATAATTCTAGAAAATGATACTTATATTATTATAGTTGCCTATTTTGTAGACGAAACAACCTGTGATATCTTATATTGATAACTTTTATCATGAACTTGTGAAGGAAAATAGTTATAACTTGATAAACAATTTAACGGAGGTTTTATTATGAAAATTGTAATCGGTATTCAGCTTTGACTCGCTATCTAAGTTTAGATGGTAAATATTAGCGGCGGTAATACTGTTTTAGTCGTCTGCAGTGTGGATAAAGATAATATTGTAGCGCCATTGGATTCGGTCCTTACATTATTATGTATTAATTGGTTTCTACAACAATTACTTAATCGTGATTTCTTTATTTCTTAAGTTCTCTGGTTTTTGACTGACTTACTTTTTTTTTACTTAAGACCATACAATTAACCTCTACTATGCTATTCTGTAATAAAATCAGCTTTTAATTCGATGTCGAGAACAGCGCTAACACAGTAACCCTAAAATATACAGTATATATTTCTAAATATAACTAGCAAATTTTACTGACGTTCCTATTCTTATAAGTTAAGATTATTTCCAATGAATTACTTAAAAACTATCGGTAGACAAAAACAAAGATTGTCACATGACAAATAATAAATTTCGTATCGATTAATCACATATGAATAAGCGTGGCCCTAAAACCGATCCCTACGGTACACCGGACATAGCGTTTATCACATTATCAGCAACAGTTACATCACCTGCCTTTACGCTGAATTTCGAAACGGAGATAAGATAACCGATAATACAGTTATACTACAGTTTTTTAAATAAGTTTCACAAGTTATCGAACGCTTCAGTCTGGGCTAATAGAGTCCTGCGGGCGTTTTTGTGGTTTTTCATGTTGGACAAAAAGTGCAGTGCAAAATGGGTTTCAAGGATTTCATTTTGGTCTTAGGTATTGTGATTAGCTGTGCAAATGCTCAAACGTGTAAGTTGCTGTATAATTATATAATCACACATTACTTTTTTATTTCATATAGGCGTGGCCGACTGATTCATTCAAATCGATTTGTAGTGATTATATTTAATTCGATTACTTGAAAATTTCTAAAATAAATAAGTATTAATATAATTAAATGGTTATTTGGATAATAATAATATATATTCATATTTAACTTTGATTATACAATATAAATATAACTCATGAAATAGGTATGCAAAATGTTTATGATAGCGAAAAAACTTAGAATTATATTACATTTTATGGACCATTATATGATCAATCGTTAGCGTACAATTTATTAAAAATTTTATTTTCTTATTAAATTAATTATTATATAAACTTTAAATAATTATTAGGAAGTTAAAAGTGCGCGATAATATAAGCTTTATGAACATAAATGACAGTTTTGGATTCTTTATGTCGGTTGACCAATATTGCAAATTAAGTAGAAACGATTACTGTAGTCTCATAACCCACATAGATTAGGATACCTACCATATATTATTGAGCGTTTACGATATCGATTAACGTTCATATCGCGATTTACTGTTGATTCACATTGGAATTGTTAGGGTTATTCATGGACTGGTTATGAGGAATACCAACTTCTTTTTGCAGTTGTGAGAATTTGTAATTAACTACTGGCTATGTATTATGACGGCAAAATTAGTGTTGTCTTCTTTTTAATGAAATTAATGATGATGAAGCTGCAGAAGACTTGACACTTATTTTTTACACCCGGGTATTATCAGCAGATAACGATTCGTCTTAGCTGATTTTATTGTTCTATTATTGAAATCGCTTATCAAAAGTGACTCATTAAGTTATTTTATTATATATGTATATCTTCAAAGCATTATTTTCAAATAGTCCACATAACTTGGTATGTAATAAATAAATATGTTTTACCATTTTTGCATTTTTTGCCATACATAAAGCATTTTTTGGCAAGTGGGAAGCAGGGTGGTAGAGTTAATGATATTGCCAAATCCCGGATTTTTAATTACTTGGTTACTGCAAAGACGCCGATCATATGAAAAGCAGAATTGTGACACATTTAAATTTCATTTGGGCAAAGGGATATTTTTCGGAGCTCTCAATAAAATACATTTTATTACCTAAACTTCTTCAATCAAATTTCTGGATCAACTTTAACTCGATTAATTAATTTTTAGCTATTAAGTATAAAGTAAAAAGTAAAGCAAAGGTTAAAAAAAATGCAAATTCTACAACTTGCTCTGATGGAGGTTCTTTGGGGTAGCAAAGCTATGTCAACAAATAATTGAAACTAATTCGATATGTCAATATCTATCTTCATGCCTTATGATGACTAAACTTGTTCTTTCGTCGCGTTAACTGCTTAAAATAAATGTACGCATATAAATTCGCTATTAAGGGGTGGCCAACGCGTTCGTTTGGGTGTTTTAGTTCTTTTATTGTTTATCATATTAAAATGTATATATTGTGGGGTTTCGGGAGAGACGAATCGGTGTAAATAGGTTTCATTTACCAAAAAAAGCTCGGTCATTTAGGTACAATATTAAGTACCTATCTACCTTGATACACAACATTTTTTTTGTATGATGGTCTTAGTTCTCGGGAGAATATTTTTATTTGCCACGGTAGTAATTTGATACTATTTTTTTTATTGAATGTATTATTTCAGTCAGAGCATGCGTCGTGGACGATAGTATAAGATGTCAAAATCTGGACAAAGATGGCAGTCTAGTGTCATGTTTGAGCGTACCCACCAGGTAAATACTCTTCAATCAGAATAACTACATTTCCATATTTTCCATTTATAATCCAACTTTGGAAATATTTAATAAGATTACGATAGAATATTTCATAATGGCAGTAGCCTATGATGAGATGCGGAATTTTAGCAGCTTCTGCCATGGCCGATCATAGGATGTGAACAAAATTTGCTATATCAAACTCCCCCGTTCTTCGGATAGCACGTTAAGCCGTGAGTCCTGGCTACATCTGCAGTAGTTAACACTGGGCCCGCGTGATGGGTTCATGGCCCCTTCTCCATATTCTATTTGATATGATTCAATCCATAAGGGAATGGGAAGGGAATCCTAGGTAGTGGGTACATTAATAGCCAATGAATATACAATACATTAGATTTTAAATGTATTACACTAAAAACGTAATACAAAATATCCTACTAATGCGAAAGTTATTGAGGATGTATGTTTATTACTCTATCTCATAAAACCTACTTTATAAAAACGGTTTCAAGGTATCCCGGGTTCGATTCCCGGCAGACCGATCTAGAAAATGGACTTTTCTATATTATCTCGGGACTGGTGGTACCTTCGTTATTTCAGATACTCCATAATACAGGGGCTACTCATACAATATATTATACATAACATATTATACATTCATTACTCATAATGAATGTGACGTTGTCTTATATTTAATAGTTATTTTTATATTTATAGTTAACATATAGACTTTTTACCCCACTAAGTTAACGGTGTTAAAACAAATATCTGGTGATATAGAAAATGAGTTGCCAATTGTCCACACTAACTTCTTATTATTGATAGGGTGGAGTGCGCTGTACAGATGAACAGAGGCAATGCTTTCGGCGTATTCACTGAAGAAGAACTGTTGCTACTCGCACAGAGAAATCCTAATGACCACCGCGTCATCGCTACTGTCAGGGATGTCAATAGAATAAGTAAGTCCGCCTGCAGACTATAGGGCAAAAGACCCGGTTTAGCCTACTGCCCCGTTTTGAGCCATTTGGAACTTTAAAGCGTTCTAAGTAATAGACAAATACTTTGCCATTAATACTAATACCGTTAAAGACTGTGATGTATCAAAATTCAATTATTAAAGTAGTCAAAACTAGGTCATGATCTTAAAATGGTCAAAACCGGGTCATCTGCTCTAAACACAAAACGTGACCATTACACATTAGGTAGATTTAGATTGCTAAGACTCCTTTGTACGGATTTAGGATGTAACAGAACCCTTAGAAATGTGGTTTAGTTAACTCATTTTTAATTACAGCTTATTTGGACTTTATTTCTTTGTACAAAACCAGTTGAAAGTTAGTATTTTTGACGTACGCGTTCTCTTAAGGGATCTTGGTAGTGGAACTTATCTTGGACTAGTCCCGGGTTAACACATAACAATTATCTTGCCCCTAAAGCTCGTTTTTATAGCGTAACAAAGGGATGAATTCGCATTTCTCACCCTAAGACAGATTTTTTTTGTATTTCACCAAAGAGCCAGCAGAAAAAAGTCTTTAATTATAATTTAAATAATCTTGGACAAAGACTCAATTGTTAATAAAACAGTAGGACGTTTGTTTTTGAAAATGGAACTATCATTAAGTTTCGGCAAAATGCGTGCATTGCATTGTAGTGTGGCTAAAAAAGAAAAAAAAAACATTGCCGCGAAATCTATTCTTTAAATTTTTTATCATTATTAAATTGAACATTATCAATGACAGTAATTTATTTAATACAGTATTGCATTGTTTTATTTCTTACAACTGATTTGAAAAGAAGTTTCAATAAAGATATAAAGCCGATTTTAACTCAATTAAATCAATCAATTTCAAGCGAAAAAAGAAATTCTACTTTTAAAACAAAACAGGCATATCCCAAATAGTGGATGACTGTGATGTTTATAAGAACTACATTTTCTTTATATAATGGAGATGGGACTTTTAACTGATATGTTATGATCTGGGCTTTTGATATTGTCAGCATTTTACAAATCGTACTTACTTACCAGATGAACTGAATTCTAAATAGTTGTTTTACACCTATAGTAATACACAACAAATGGTACAACAAAACACACTACCCCTTTTGTTAGCTGCTTACGTTAACAACTTCCTATTTTAATTTTATCTCACGTGAGGGCTATCGAAATACCTTTATAAAGGTGACAGAATTGATTATGTTTTTTCCTGGTTGGTGATAAACGAAGCCTTAAGGTAGGTACCACATTTATTAAGCAAAACGCGCTGAATTGCATTTCTTTAAAGTTTTCTTCGATTTTATTTTATTGCAGCAAATCCCTTCGCATTCGAAGCAGTAGCGTTGGTTCCCAATAACCACACGAATGGTTTCGAGGGCTTACGAGGAGGCCGGTACTGCCACCCGGGCCTAGGCGCTACCAGTATGCGCTGGTCACCGAGAGTGCTCAGGGCTTTAGAGACTTTGGTGAGAATTTAACACTATATTTCATACTAGAAATTTCATTCTTTTGCTTCAGATACGTACAAGATGTAACTGTAGGCATGCAGTTCTATATATTCTGTTATAAGAATGGTCTAGAGAGCGCAGCCCTGTCACTGAGTACAGGTGTGATCAAATAGAACCTACTTGAATAAAAGTGTAGGGTTATATTTCATTTCATTGAAGCTCTGTGCCGTGACAGCCCTGAGTTCGAAGTCGAATTCGAGGCTGTTTTATAACTGAATACCGACCAATATGAGAATGATAGTTTTTTGCGGGATTGCTACCATGTACCTTGGTTTTTGTTGAGTTCTCAATATTACGGCGGCTAACCAGTTCAGTATAAATCCAGTATACTTAATATATATTTTAATAACTATTTTTCCTTTTCATTAGAGCAATTGTTTAATATATAAAAATATTAGATAACATCACATAGGGTACCTTCATTGCTTAGATTTCAAAGCTTTTAGCACTTATTTTGTGGAAATCTGAAATAACAAGGGTGCAACACCCAGATCATATTTATTATTATTGGCCCACTGCAGTCCACTGCTGGACTTAGGCCACCCCCAATACACTTAATTTTTTCCTGTTCTGAATCACTCTCATCCAACCTTCCTCAAATCATCGCTACACCTTGTTGGAGGTCTTCCTACACCACGCTTGCCAATTCGCGGTCTCGACTCTAGAACTCGCTTACCCCGCCGATTTTTCGGTTCGTCGACAGATATGGGCTGCCCACTACCAGGCTTCAGCTTATTAATCTTGCTTGCTACCTATGTTGATGTTTTTGGTTCTCTGTCGGATAATCTCGTTACGAATTTTATTCTTTAAGAGAAATTCTGAGCATAGTACATTCCCTACGTAGAGTTATACCTATACAGAATATGGACAGAATATGGACCTATACAGAAAAAGTTCATTCTCTACACTTTTTTGGACAGAATGGTATTTTAAAATATTCACATAAAAAGCTTGTTTTTAAATATAAGAAATTAGTTAATAATTATAGTGATATTATGTATTTCAGTCGGCTCGCACAGATCAGTGTCCTAGTGAGACGCGAGGCCGCACCACCGAGGAGTTGGAAGTGGAAATCCTCAGTAATTTCTTCTCGGAGGCTTGCAGACCCGGACCGTGGAGTGCAAATCCCACACACGATGCTGATCTGAGTAAGTAATGTAGATGGACTTCGATTAAGATTTGGTTTGTAAGGTGATGCTGCCTAATAAGATCCACTAAAGCTTAATCTAAACTTAAAGCTGAAGATGAAGTGTTCGTCTTGTATTCTTTCAAATTACCGCCATCCGTCCATTACCGGTCTCAGGTTCGCGACCCGTTCAGACAGTAAGAGAATGAACTTTCTTTAGTACGTCGGGTATATGAAGAAATTTACTTCTTCCTATTCTTTATTACCACAACAATACAATAAACCACTGATTTTTTTTTAATAAATACATATAAACCAATATGTATATGACTCAGATTCCAAGAATTAGCTAAAAAACTTATTAGTGAGTATCTAAAACAACGAAAGTACCATAATGCACAAGCCCAGAATCATATACAAAAGATATTTATCGACATTGAACCAAATGGGAATCGAACTTCGGACATCAGATATAGTGACACCTTAAAACCGGTACCGGGGTGCCTGCCACACTGCTACGGAGGTTAACGCTATTGATGAAATGGATAGATTTAAAATTTTTAAATGTCTTTCGTACAGAGAGACGATTCCCGAACTTGTGTGCGATGTGCTCAGCCAGCGGTGTATGCGAGGGCTACAACAACCCAATGGCTATAAACATTGCGGGCGTCTCCAACAGAGACACACATATACAGGCGATCGACTGTCTCGTCAACAACGGCACTGTCGCTTTCGTCGCGTGGTCGCATGTCGTCGATTATTTTAGGGTAAGCATATTTTAGAAAGCAGGTTTTATTTTAAATACAAAAATCGCGTACGAGCAAGTCCAACGCAGCTTAGGAAGATTTAATGGGATGACGACTAATTATTGTTTGTCCGTCAGAAAGATTGTTGAAAAAATAAACCTTTTTTTTCCCGTAATCATTAAATTATGGCGATACATTGAGTTAAAATGTCACATGTACATTTTTACAAAATTGTGTCGTAGCGAGCCCAACTTTGTCGCGAAGATTCAACTTTAATTCCTATTATTTAAGCTATTTCTTGTTAAATTGATGTTCAAAAATAAGTAGGTATCTAATATTTTCTATGATCTGATTAACGGACTAAATAGAATTTATTTTGTTTTTACCTAGTCGTCATCCCTATTCTGCAAATATTTACGTAATACCCGCATCTCAAGTACTTGCTTTTCCATCCCTGAAAATTACTTAATTTCAAATTTTTTTTTAAATGAAATTGTGAATTAACTTTATTCAAATAAGCTTTACGAGCACTTTTCATGTGATATGCTGCCTGGTAGACTAGTAGAGAATGCCCTTGGCATTAAGTACGCCGTTTGCTGTTCTATGCAATAAATATTAAATAAATAAACATCACTTAAATTATTATAATAACATTTTCATTTTAAAGTTTCAAATTCATCTTAAACTCTGCCATTTAATTTCCAGAATGCAAGACCAGATCTAATTGGTAATTACTCGGTACTGTGTGAGGACGGCACCACCAACCCGTTGACGATGTCTCTGGACCTGGGGGGAAATCTCATAGTGGAAACTTCTCCCTGCTCTCTAGTAAGGCAACCATGGAGAACTATCGTAGCCAACACGTAAGTCAATATACAATTTGGACGAAAAATAACGTTTTTGTTAGATGTCTAGATAAATTATGTGATGATGACTAATTTTTGTTTGTTTGTCTGTCAGGTAGAGTGTTAAAAAATATTAAACACGTATTTTTTTATATTTTTCGTAATCATAAAATTACGGCGTTACATTGAGTTGAACTCGCATGACGTCACGTTAGGGTACGTTTTCTACTCAACTGTGACGTAGCGAGCCCCCACTCCTCAACTTTAATGCCTGTTATCTAAGCTATTTCTTGTTAAATTGAAGTAAAAAAAAAGGTATTTACTATTTTTCTATTATCTGACTGACGGACTAAATAGAACTGCATTTTTTTACCCAGTCATCATCCCTATTAGAGAAAATATTTGAGTACATACGTATTGACGTATGTACTCATAATTTGTAACTCAATCATTAGTTAAATTGCAATAATACTAAAGTGGAAAATATCTGTATCACGATCACCGTAGTGTGGACTTCTACGGCGATTGCTTGTCAATGTATTTTTAAACTGAAAATAATTTATTGTATTTATTTTTTATCTCTCGAGTCTCGTGTCTCACTACGGGATGTTGGCAAAATTTCCGTGCATAACGGAACAAAGCCATATTTAAAAAAAAATGTATACCTTTCGTATGTGCATTGAATATAATTGGTGCGGAGACTAGCTTAAGATTACGATTTCAGAATCAGCATTTTCCTTCATCAGTCAATAATGTTTCAGCGCTACAGCTGAAGGTCTCTCGTCGAGTCTTCAAAACTGGTGGCCTAGCGGTTCGAACCCTGGCGGCAACACTTGGCAGGCCAACCTGTACTCGGCTCTAGCCGGCGTTAACACCGGGGTTGTATTTGAGAGTACATTATTGTCACCGTTAAATTATACCAGAGCCAGTGAGTATTATTATTAGTGAGTTTGTTACATAGCAATATCCAAACTCGAATACGAATTCACTCAGGTAGCTGAATTTACTTTAAAAAGCGGCATCCGCTCAAATTTGAATCAGTAATAATTTTGTGGCATAAGTGAAGTGAGTTTCGAAATAACATCGGAATGGAATATCTGAGACGAGTATGATCAATCAATTTTGTTTTGTATTTTATGCAAAAAAATTGGAATCAATAGAATTTCTTCACTAAACGAGTGAATTCAAATTCGGGTTCGCATTTTTATAGAATCCAAGAAGAACTGCAGAATAAAGAACTCAATTCTCCTAATGTTTACGTAATTAGAGATGGCGTCTCATCAGAATCTCACCTATTTGCTTTTCGCCATTAGCAGAATCAGCCTGCTGTTCTTATTTGGGTCGTAATATTTATTGTTAGTAATCATGTACAGATGCAACTTTAAATTAAGTTTATATTAATAAATTGCTTTTAATCTTTATTGTAGATATGTTTATATATAACTTATGTATGTTCATAATTTTATTTTTATAGTCATAGTTTAATGTTAGTGTAAGGGCCAGTTTCACAAGCGTCAGATAGAACTATCTGACGGATGATATCAGTGACTTTTAATTGTCAGATAGTGTTATATCTATGTCAAATAACTATTTGAACTTAATTAATGTAACTATGACTTGAAACGCCATTGTGCAACGTCACACTGGTGACATATTAGTTTCATCAAATAGACATAGCTAGTTTCATCAAATTGCTATCAACTGATCATTAAAAAAATTATAAATCAGTAATGAGTACCTGTTTAATTTACGTTTGAAATGGCATAAGCACGGTTTGAGACGTACCTACTCAACTTCAAATTCTCAATCCAGAAACCAGGTGTATGTCCGACGCTGGAAAGTAAACACGTAGTAACCTGCAAAACCAAAGAGGAAAATCTTTATATTAAAAAAAAAACTTCTTTCCGAATAAATTGACAAAGGAACACCTTATTTGTTACCATACACGTTTATAGGAACTATATATCGAAAAAAAATAAAAGCTTTTCTGCTCTAAACAATTTCGGTTTTGCGGGTTACTACGTCTTTGCTTTCCAGCGTCGATGTGAACTATTTTTTCCAACCAAAGAGGAAAATCTTTATATTTCAAAAAAAAAACTTGTTTCCGTTATAAATTGACAAAGGAACACCGTATTTGTTACCATATACGTAGGAATTATACATCGAAAAAAATAAAAGAAATTCAGCTCTGCAGAACAATCTTAGTATTGCGGGTTAGTTTTTCTGCTCTAAATATGCATTTTGTTTTTGCGGGTTAATACCGACGTGTTTGCTTTCCAGCGTCGATATGAACTATTTTTTCCGATGTCTAATAACCAGTGGTCGGAATTAGGTAGAGTTATTCATGTACTTACACTGATTTCATACAGCGTAAGAATAAAGTGGATATGCCTCAAACCCCGAGATTAATTTTAAAAAGCAGAAAAAAATCCCGTGATTTTTTAAATAAAAAGTTATTTACTTTTACACAATTTAAACTACTGCACGCACGACGTTGCCAAACTTACATCAATGACATCGGATGTCCAAAGATGTCCAAGATTGTCCATCAGAAATCCCGGGAAGGTCCACATTAAATTCAACATTTCGATGCAAGTACATAAAGACCTCTACCTAATTCCGACCTTTGCTCATTACACCAAAACAAAGATCTATAACACGTTACATCGGTATTATGTGATTTACTGACGATATAGCTCGTCTTTTTGCATATCGTATCATCTAAGCGACTCATAAAAACCGATATCATAATAAAATTTTCTGCTAATAACACCGTGTTATAACGCACAGTCCGGCCGATACCGGAGATAGACGCGACCAGTTCGTGCGTGCCGGCCCGCCGCTGGTGCACCGTGTCCGCCGCGGAGCAGGACAAGTGCACTTGGCTGCGCGCCGCCGCGCACTCGCTGGGCGTGCGGCCCGCGGTCGCGTGCCAGCAGCGGGCCGCGGTCTTCGAATGCCTGCGAGACATCAGGGACGACAGGGCTGACTTCTTCTCGGTCGACACGCACTTCGGTTATCTGGCTAGGGCGTGAGTTCCTCTTATTATTTATTGTTAGTACACGAGTTCATTGCATTGGCTTTGGCTTCGTTCAGGCCGCAAACGGCAGGCCAATTCTGCTAATGTTTACGAAATAATAGTATCGTATTAGAATCTCAATTACTTGCATTTTGCCATTGCACTGTCTACCTGACGATTAAAAAAATATTTTTGTTAATGGTTTAAAATAAAAAATCAGGGCGTGAGTTTCTACTACGATTTTCATCATTATTAGTTCACGTGCCCATTGCATTGGCTTAGGCCACGTCCGCACAGGCAGGCGGCTTTCTTAGCGCCTAGAGCTTACCGAGTCACCTAGCGTGTAGCTCAGTAAAATAAACGTTCTAGAATGTTGACAACCGGCCGCACTGCACGTTTGGCGCCTAGCTAATCGCTTAGCGGGTAGCAAAGTAAACAAACTTGTTGGTTTTTTTGTCACGAGGTGCGAGGCATTTTAAAAGCAAAAGGGGATGAAATATTAATAGCATCAGTTTTTAAAAAGACATTTTTCGTTAAAATTGCGCTATTGTTTATACAGAACATTGAACTCCCCATTTATTGACCTTGACTTATATATATCATGAACCCAACACGATGGATAAGACAGTGAAATGCCGACCAGCAAATGGCCAAGGCATTTAGCAATCCTCCACGCAAACCACGTTTCAGTGCGGCCACCTTGTATCCTAGCAAGCATCCAAAATGCAAGACACTAGGCTCTAGACGCTTAGCAAGCGGCCTGCCAGTGCGGACGTAGCCTTAGGCTTCTATTAGACCGCAAACAGCAGGTCAATTCTGCTAATGTTTACGAAATAATTATATCTTAATATAATCTCAACTATTTGCATTTTACCATTGTTTAAAATATAAAATCTAATTTTCTGTTACAATATGAGGAATATAAAACCACACGTCCTTTTTTATCTTTTTTTTTATTATTATATGTATAGTAGGAATATTACAATTATACTTAGTTAATTTACAAAAATAGGTAACAACTTAAATTACTCCTCTGTTGCCGAAATAGGAAAAGACATCCTGTATTCCAGCGTACAGCGCCCTAAAATCCCCAAAGAACCCATAGAATTCACAATTGCTTCAAAAGAGAGATTGCATCGGAGGGGATTTAGTGGATATGCCATCCACGTTTTGACTAGGCTTCGCACGGATACGTGTGGACGGAGAGTCCCACACATCCCCTGTCACCTATCAAACGGCAGGGAAAAACATAAAGCATTCCTACGACAAAAATAAACGGGGTAATTAGGATGGGCTATGAACCTCCACGTTGGCCAGAATTGGATTGAAGGGTAGGGGAAGTCCGGGCAACGCGAATAGGTCAGGCAAAGTGAATACCTCACATTATTTCAAAATGGCGTATTCGTGCAAGTCCGTAGCTTGCCATGAGGTCCGCCCCCCTCTCCTCAGTCGTAAACAAGCAGAGCAAACGCAAGGTCGCGCGTCGTTTGTGAAAAAAAGGCGAAAAATAATAATATCACAATTTGTTACGATATTTTATGGTACTTCTTTTAATTATTACTATTGTGCCTATAGTGTTACTCTTTTGGAATCATTATTGACGTAAAGTGCATGTTTTCTTGTTGAATTACTGCGATATTCATTAAGTTATTGTGTCTGGATTTGATTGTAGGTTAGTTTTCGTTCAAAAAGTACCTGTCGCACAAAGCGAACACGGGCAAAGTGGATATGGTATCCACTTTGCCCAGTAATGATGTGGCTCGATTATTTACTCCAGCATATTTAAAAAGTGCTACTGCCAATAATGCCATTAAAGGGTTTCAATCTCCAGGAATTTGGCCAATTAATATGGATATATGGGAAGATAAGGATTATGCACCATCCTCTACAACAATGATGAAACCTAATACCACAAATACAAAAGCAGCATTTCATGAAACAACTAATCGAGATGTGTTAACTGCAACGGTAGACCATGGCGCGGTGCCTACGACGTCAGGGTTTCAATGTTCATCTGGACCAAATAAAGCTTCGGAAATTTACGATCATGATTTTAGTGACGAAGAGGTCGAACCTGCTGGACCTATTTGTGTAACAGTTCAAGTTCATACCTCAACAATGAGAGAAACGAATGATTCGGCGTTGGAGTCTGTCTTTTGTCCCGGAATTAGCGAGCCTGGAGGAGTATCGCCAACAATAATTCCAGAAGTAAATCAAGAAGATCCATTTAAAATCTCTAAAAGCCCTGCTAGATATTTTACTTCTGACATTCAGCACACCTCTGGATCAAAAGATAACTTATTGATCTCCGAAGAAATCTATGATCAAACTAGGTCAAGATCATGCACACCTAATGTTACTGATGACCACGTCATTCCAGCAGCTAATAAAGCAGAGATCAGTGCTACAGATTTAATGAGTACTTCGACTTTACTTTCAAATAAAAAACCTGCAATATATCAGACTTCACCTGCCGCTTATTTGAGTCCAAGAGAAATAAGACCACTTCCAAGTCCTTACGTTCCCATGGGAACACGAAAAAGATATATTCAAAGGTCTGAGGTGCTTACTAGCACACCGGTTAAGGGAGAACAGAAAGTTAAATTTGTTAAAGCAAATACCAAAGCATTAAAAAATATTAACAAAAATTTAAAAACAAAGACTAGACCGAAGAAAAAGACCAACATAACCAAAAATATTGAAGCGAGAAACACTAAACTTAAGAAATTTTAAACTAAAGAAAATGACGAAAACTGCACGTGCTATTTTTGTGGGGAAAATTATGTTGAAGTTAATGGGCAGCCAGTTGATGATTGGATCCAATGCAGTTCCTGCAAGAAATGGAGCCACGAGAAATGCACGGCATATGAGGGAAAGGGCATTTTTCTTTGTGATAACTGTACTGATAAGTGATTAGTTACTTTTTTGTTTTTTTTTTGTTATCTTTACTATATATTTTATTCGTAATTGTTCCTAGTCTGATTGTGTTCACTTTGCCCTTTGGTACTATCCACTTTACCCGATGGGTTGGGCAAAACGGATAGAAGCGAAGGATGCAATTTAATCAAATTTTTTAAGAAAAGTTATTAAGTTACGTTTTTGTTTGTTGATTTCTTTTAAACTTTAATAAAGACTGATTCATATTCCGTCACTATTTTATTTCTATGTCTAGTAGATCACATTCCATAGTCTTTCAAAGGACTGCAAATGAAACCTGGAGCAACGGCTTAACGTGCCTCTGAAGCATGGAGTAGTTAGAGATAATATTTTTTTGATCACCCATCCCATAGTGGGTCACTGCCCACACTTAAAGTTGCTTAATATAACGTTCGCTGATCACTGCTCCATCGAGCTCGTGAAGTGGGTGATTACCCAAGTAACATTATTTTCTATAACTAAAGCCTTTAGTTACCGCACAGTGATAAAACATATCTATAATAGTACCCAGTGGGACTGTTTGTATGTACTATAAGTTTCTTTTTTTAAGTAATCATTTTCATTGTGTAATTTGCAGTCACTTCCGCCTGACGCCTGTAAAGTTAGTTCAGAACCCTAGCGCGTCCTCATCACGAGTAGCCGTTTTGGTTAAAGAATCAGCCACCAATGAAATATCGCGGTTCGAGAATCTTCGCGACAAAGTTGCCTGCTTCCCGGAGTTTGGTGGACTTGGTAAGCAACTAAAAATGTGAAACGATTACAGTCGACGTTTATAATACATAAAAAATGATTTTATAAATAAAATATGATAATATTCATGGTTCAGAAACTTTCTTGGTAACTACGATTTCTTGTTACGTAGGAATGTGAACATTTCATGCATTCAATTGGTTAAATATTGGTTCCGGACCCCATGGCTGCAAATTCCAGTCCTACAAGTGGTTATGTCGACCGGGATGTTTGCTTTTTGAAATTGTTGCCAGTGCCGAACTAAGCCAGAGCGTGCCCGTAGCAAATAATTGGCTCTGAACCATAGCCAGGCCCTATTGCGCGGGAGCTCCCAAACACGCGGAGCCCGTTGAATTTGCTACGTGGATAATTGAACATTCGCGGTTGCGCAAAACAATAAAAAAGGCTGTTTACTTCTAGACAGTGTAATAAATTGTAATAATAATTACAAATAAATAATAGATTCCAAGTCAACTCTCAATTTTAAAAATAAATATATATAAAAAAGAATATTTATATTTGTAACACCATTATTTATGGGATCTAAGCAATGCATAGTGTCTAATGTTTATTTATCGATTGATAACGTACCTACATATCGTAGCGTACGTGGCATTCGTACGCGCGGCCCACGAACGCGGCGTGATCAGTTCCCAGCAGTGCGACTACGCGCGCGCCGTCGGGGAGTTCTTCAACAGCTCATGCGCACCCGGCGCACTGGACGCCTCGCACATCATATACAACACCTCCGTAAGTTACATCATACATCACACTGGACGCCTCGCACATCATATACAACACCTCCGTAAGTTACATCATACATCACACTGGACGCCTCGCACATCATATACAACACCTCCGTAAGTTACATCATACATCACACGTGACGCCTCGCACATCATATACAACACCTCCGTAAGTTACATCATACATCACACTGGACGCCTCGCACATCATATACAACACCTCCGTAAGTTACATCATACATCACACTGGACGCCTCGCACATCATATACAACACCTCCGTAAGTTACATCATACATCACACTGGACGCCTTGCACATCATATACAACACCTCCGTAAGTTACATCATACATCACACTGGACGTCTCGCACATCATATACAACACCTCCGTAAGTTACATCATACATTACACTAGACGCCTCGCACATCATATACAACACCTCCGTAAGTTACATCATACATCACACTGGACGCCTCGCACATCATATACAACACCTCCGTAAGTTACATCATACATCACACTGGACGCCTCGCACATCATATACAACACCTCCGTAAGTTACATCATACATTACACTGGACGCCTCGCACAGCATATACAACACTCCCGTAAGTCTAAAGCAAATTAACTATGACAAAAGAGAAAGGTGACTTATTTTGGTGGAATAATGGTCGGTTAAAAGTTGGTACTAAAATGAATAAGGGGGTATTAGTCTAGTGAAAACGTTAACTGTATAATGACTGAAAAGTCTGAAAATGTTATATCTTTTCATAAATACACGCAAAAGTAAAGAATAAATAAATCACTTTTATAATTAAGATATAAACGATGAGAAGACCAATCAAATAAAAAGAACGGAATAATAACATCTCATATTCCAAATAGATATGTCTACTTTTTATGCGGGTATGATATCCGCGCGAATTCGAAAAAACCGCACTTTTTGGTTTGATACATCCTTCAATACCGTTCTTCAATGAATCTTGACAGATATTTATTAGTTTTAAAATTAACATAGAATCTCATATCAGACTCTGACTCTAATATTGTGTTTTGAAGAACGGTAATGACGAATGCGTCAAACCTGTTATCTACGAAGAGGGCGACGACGAATTGGTGTGGCACAGGTGTGAAAATAAATCCAAATCATAATCTTCACAAAACTATTTAATATCCACAATAGTCAGGGTCCTCGCCAAAGCACGTGTCAATCAATCAATAATTAGAACCATAAGTCAATATCAAAAACAAAATTAAATAAATATCAGATATATATATATAAAAAAAAAACTATGAAAACATAGACAACGTATAAAAATAGGTCGGTCCAGCTGACGATCCTCAACAAAACCTAAAGTTTAGATTTCGCGAATTTATTTAATAAAATAAGGAAATACACCAATATTTCAAAGCGGTGTCCTCCCCTCTCTCCAAATTGTTGTGCCCGACGGGGTCCATAATGATATTTTTGTTTTTTTTTTATTAACATCCTAATACTACACTGTGGAATGCAATAAATAAAATAAAAAATACCCACCCGAAGCTACCAACGTAGAGGCTGCCTAATAAATTCGAACGCCTCCTCATTTTCAGACATTTGACGCAACAACGTTATGTACCGCGTGTCGCCAGAGTACTCCAGTCGCCGCCAACGCTTCTGATTGTAAGTAATTAAGTATTATTACATTAGACGAGACAAATGCTAGCCATTCCGAGATTTGAGCGAAACTGTAGATACATTTATAATAGTTATGCAATATTTTTTTATAGTAAACACTAAAGTCTAAAGATTTAAATCTAATTTAATTTATCCAGAATGCAACGGCCAGCCGATTTTACTATCTTGTTTTTATGTTATATACAATAATTAATAGTGGTTCGCCCGCCGGTTTTAAGGCGTCGCCAACTCTGAGGCCCGGGTTCAACGTATAAAATGAAGTTTTGTATTTGTCACGGGTCTGGGTGTTGTGGTACCTGCGTTGTCTGAGATACTCTATAATACGGGGGCTTCAGCTGCTCAATTTGGAATCTGAATAATGTGATGTTGTATTATAAATATAAATAAATAAATTATTTTCAGTCACGTGCGCTTGGGATTACACTAACATGTTCTACGGTAACAACGGCTCCCTCATGTGCTTAAACGATCCAAACACTCACGTAGCCTTCGTAGAGATGCAGGACATAAGAGGTTAGTACAATGTTATACTAAGTACTACTGAGTAGCTCGGTGGCGTAGTGGATCAGCGCCGCGGCCCGTGATCGTAGTCGTTAAGCAACTTTCGCAAGGGTTGGTCACGGGATGGGTGACCAAAAAATTATTATCTCGAGCTACTCCGTGCTTCGGAAGGCACGTTAAGCCGTTGGTCCCGGCTGCATTTTCAGTCGTCAATACCCTCCAATCCGCATTGGGCCAGCGTGGAGGGTCATGGCCCATCCTCCTTAACCATCCATAAGGAAGGCCTGAGCCCCTGCAGTGGGGACGTAAAAGGGCTGGTGATGATGAATACTTAGTACAGAAAGTTATTTAATCATTACATAGTATTAAACAAAGTCGCTTTCTCTGTCCCTATATGTATGCTTAAAATCTTTAAAACTACGTTTTTTCATAGATAGGGAGATTCAAAAGGAAGGTTTTTATGTATAATACAAGACCACGCGGGGAAAGCCGCTGGCGGAAAACTAGTTAATATATATTTTTTACTAAACGTTCTGTTAAATATAGTTTATGTTTTTAACCGACTTCAAAAAAGGAGGTTCCCAGTTTGACCTATATATATGTATGTTTGTGCGAGATTATTTCGCGTTTGGCTGTACCGATTTTGACGCGGTTTAAATATTTTTAGTGTTACCTTATTATACTTATTAAAATAGCACTAAAAAGCATTAAATAAAAACTTTTAAAAATTGAACTGACTTCAAACTTTAAAAAAAAAGTGATAGTAATACTTATCTGAAAACCGACTTAATCAAGATAATACTTTTAAATTCGGGTACTTCTCACTTAGCTCACTTAATAAATAACCTACAGAAAACCTCTACCCAACTTTAGTAGCCATTTTCTTGAATAAGTCGCTTTTGAGATAAGCATTATTTTTCACTTATTTTTAAGTTTGAATCAAAATAATTTAAATTAAAGCCCCAAATTATCGAAACGCATCAAACATGTCACATCTAAAGCTCTACACAATCTCTTGGAGCTAAAGCGTAACTATAAGTTACTGATCCTTCACTCAGCACGACTGTAGATTTACAGGAAACTTTGCATTATGCCAAAGTTACGTTTCTCATAATTAAAATTATAGATGATGCTAATTTTTAAAGTGATTTTGTAAGGGAATACATTTACACGGCGCCGGCTCAGTGTAACTTAACGCTGGAACGACGCTTAGGGGCCATCCATAAATTACGTCACACGTCAAGGGGAAGGGAGGGGGTCGACAAAATGTGACATTATGTGACAAGGGGGTGGGAGGCTCCTAAATTTCGTGACTTCACATTTCAAAATCTATTATAATCTAAGGGTTAAAACACGAACTTTAAACTATTACTTTACAAAAACCTTGTAAAATATATGACATCACGCTAGGAGGGGGGAGTTTTACAAATGTGACCAGCTGTGACTAGGACGGGGGAGGGGCAAAAAGTCATGAAAATCGTGTGACGTAATTTATGGATGATCCCTTATAAAAAATCGCAACTGGGTCATTGTCAAATTTTGGGCAGGTAAACGTAATCTAAAATTTAAAAAATATGTAAAAACAAATATATGTGCACGTTACTTTCTATTATGCACATGACTATTAAAATAACTTAGGTATGGTCTATTATATTCGGCCACGATGTCTAACCACGAATTTACAAGTTATTCTGAATTTAGTGGATCAGGGCGTAAATAAATACAACTCTGTTACTCATGAGGTTTTACTTTTTATTTTTAAATTAAACAAGTCAATTGCAATTATTTTGGTATTTATATTAATTACAGTTTTAAATCTTATAATCACATTTAGAATCAGAGTTCTTTTTGAAAGTTTAATGACAATAAAGATAAATCTAAAACAACTCTGTTACTTTTTAAGTGTTAACAGATCTTAAATTCTACCAAAACTTTCAAAATGAGTGTATATTAACAGCTAAGTATAATATATAACAGCATAAACTTGTAAGAAATTAATGTATTGTGATATTGCACCATAAAACCTAACAGTTTTTCCTAAAGTCCCTTAGAAGGTTCTATAGAAATAGGGACAAAAAAGTAACAGAGTTGTAACATATTAACATAGTTGCTTTTTTTTTTACTTAATCTAAATAAATTGCTTCTGGTTGAGCTTGAGATCAAAATATAACGCGAATAATGAATAATGACAAACATGTTTATCTTGCAGCAACAGTAGGATATACAACATAAAATGGTTTGTGTCGTGTAAAAGTTTGTAACTATATTTCAAGTCAGCATTTTCTCTTTTAAAAGATGCATAAAGGTTCTTCATATTGTGAACTAAGTATCGCTTTTGCTCTTTAACTTTCTTAAGAGAAATGGTCTCTTTCTTCCCAGCCGTTGCTCTTGATACGTCGTCACGTAAAAAAATGCCATAACTTAAAGTAATCAAATCTTTTTTTTTAATCAAGGGATGTTTTTTTCGCAAGTAATTCTGATCCACTGCAAGACATTCTTGACTGATTTCAGTTTTCTGTCTCGAGCACTTGACAACCTTTTCTTTAAATATCTTTTGAATAGCATATTTTTCCTTCCAATTTTTTACATTTTCATAGCGCTTCTTTATAGCATTTGATAAGACCTCATATTTTCTTTGCGTTGCTCTACTGCTATTTTGTATATTTTTCGTATTTCTTGTTCACTGCCTCTAATTGTTCCTTTATCTCTAAATAACCTCGATCTGTTTCTTTTCTTACTTTCTGCCGCGAACAGCCGATGAAGCTATGAGTTAGGAGTATTTTCTCGCGAAGTAGACAGATGGGGTGTTGACAAACGACGATCTCTTGAAATAATTTGGGCAATAGGGGCTGGACTATTTGAACGAGGCGGTGTAGACTCTGGAGTGTGCATAATAATCCGTAGTGCTCTCGCCTTATCTTTCCGTCTAGCGTTTGCAGATCGCCATTTTTTTATAGCTCGATGTTCACGTGTTGATAAATCGCATACTAAGCGTTTCTTTTCATGGTATCTTTCAAGGTCTTTACGTTTAGCTTCTAATACCTTTTCAGGATTATTTTGACGCCGTTCTCGATACCGCCGCTGCTTTTCGAAGACAAATGCACAATATCCTGTAACAATAGTTTTAGGCTTATTTAAAATTTTATACGACTCATATAGAAGTACCAAGATTATACCTTGCTTAAGAAAAGTAATTATTACAAAAAAATGTATTAAAGACAGTATACAATTTTAGCCAATAGTTGTTTTATACAACTGTGTTACTTCAATAACAAATCTGTTACCGCACGCAAGTGACAGAGTTGTAAGTAACAGAGTTGTAAATTTTACATTCCATGAGACGCAACTAAAAAAATATGGTTTTAAGAATACATTTTCATGCACATAGAGCATATTTACCCTATAGTTAATAAGCTGAAAATAAAATATAAGAAAAAAATTGATTTACTTACGGAATACCTGAGCAACAGAGTGGATGCACAATAAAAACACGCAGCACGTTGAACGCCATGCGGCCGCCTGAGGGGCGATGTATTCTACCCTCACTTAAACGGACAACCACGATGTACGCTGACACCTCGCTCACGATAAAAGATAGATCAAAGTAACGCCATCTCTAATTTGGCATGCGATTTACTTAGTAACATAGTTTTTCAGACGGTTCTCAGTAATACTTGGGACAAAACTTAGGCAATTTAAAAAAAAAAACATTTTCAATCTGATCGTCTTGAAAACACATTTCATAAATATTTATAATACTGCTGTTATTGTGATAATTTATTTGGATTGGGTTGGTATATCAGAAATTGAAGTTTTTTCATCTTTACTGTAACAGAGTGCTGCTTGGGACAAGTAAAATATATAAGGGAAACCCCTCTGTTACCAAAAATTGCCACTATGTTACGTCAAAAATAAGGAAAAACATAAAAAACTAGGTATTGATTTTATTATAAAATGTTTAGTAATATGGTTAATTATGTATTCGATATGATTTTTTCAAAGAATGTTGAATATTTCATTATTATTAAATAAAATTTGTCAAGGGACTAGTTTACCTGCCCAAAATTTGACAATGACCCAACTAATTAAAATACTAGTGCATGATTAAATATTTATCTGCACCGATTAGAGTGTTATTATGCCAATGACAAACGAAACTTCTGGTCCCGTCAAAAGTAAAGTAATTCAAAATTTACAAGATTTTGACTGATCTGAAATCTTGTACTTTCGATTACCGCTGACATGGTATCATCTACAAATAATAAAAGTCATTTTTTTAAGGTACTCCATTTTGAAAGTGCAAATAAATTCTAGCAATAATCTTTTTGCGATGCCATTTCACCTCCCAAATACGGGCATTAGGCAGTTGCCTCATCTGCCTTTATAGACGGTTCAGTCTTGCATTTATATATTTTAGATTCTTGTTAACATTAAAATATGTACTTGCCACATAGCTGGAGCGAAAAAGTTCCATTGAAAGTATTTTATAATACTCACTGGGACAATTTCAAAATTGTAACCGATAGAAATAATTTTAATAAAGAACATTTTATTTATATTTATTTATTTTTTATTTTATAACGTCAATATTGTTTATGATGAGCGGTACTATGTGTCTTATTGTTTATTACAGCACAAATCAGGGCCCTCGGTCTTCAGGAGTCCAGTTTCAGAGCTTTGTGTTCGAACAACTCGCTGGCTTGGTCAGCAGGCGTGGTGGTGCCCGATGACTGCCTCATAGCACACGTTGTGGATGCAGAGATCCTCACCAGAAGGTAACTTCATCACCCTAATAATTTATTTATACTTAGACGGGTTACCCTCCAATCCGCATTGGGCCAGCGTGGAGGGTCTTAGCCCATTCTCCTTAACTATCCATAAGGAAGGCCTGGGGGCCAATTCTACTTAATTAAATTTTGTTTAAATCGAATCGAAACGGATCGAAAGCCGATCGAAACCGAACGACGTTTTTAATGGTTTCCTATTCTACAAAGTGACATAAGTGACATATTCTACAAAGTGACATACGATACAATTCCAGCTAAAATAGAACTGGAATTGTATCGTATGTCAATTTATAGAATTTAAAACTGTAGTTTCGTTCGGTTTCGATCCGTTTTCGATTCGATTTAAACAAAATTTATTTTGTAGAATTGGCCCCCTGAGCCCCTGCAGTGGGGACGTAAAAGGGCTGACGATGATGACTTAGACGAACTCAATGGCGCGGTGGTAGCGTTCCTACTATTGCGCCGAGAGTCGTGGGTTCGATCCCCACTCAGGACATACATTTTTGTGATTAACAATTATGTCTGGTCTGTGTCTGGGTGTTTTCTATTTATATTGTGTATATATTTGTATTCCCCCCGTTGTTTCTGATATCCGCAACAAAAGTGTCTAAGCAACTTACCTCGGAATCAATGTGTGTGATGTTGTCCAATATTTTTATTATTATTATTTATTATACTTGCTAAAGACATAACTCCATCAGTTAGCCCGAAGGGATGTAGAAATTGAGATTTAGTGATTACCTATAATAACCCTCTATTGTCTTGAGACAAACTCAAGCATTTATAAATGGGTATAATTATAAGACTTTATACAGCGTGAAAAATAAATAAAACACCTATGTTTTTGAGTGATATGTACAGAAAGCGCCAAATAAAATCTCCTTCAAAAGATAAGTTTTTGAAAATCTATTGAATTCCTCATACTCATTATGTATTTATCTATATATATTTATGTATATATATTTATTTGTATATGAACATGTTTATTTATGATGTTTATGTATAGGATATCATATTGTAATTAAACGTGAATATTGTCTAATATCATGTTTGAAACTGATATTATATCTATAATTTTTCTAAGTTGATATATTATCTCTATACAAACTCTCTGGTTGACTGGTAGAGAATGCTTAAAAAAATGTGTTAAGGAATCTTACTATCAATGTAATGTAAATAGCCATGAAATCTTGAAACAACATTATGATTTCTCCAACAGAAACGACCCACACTTCAACAGCTTGGGCTCCCTCCTCGACTCTATTGAAGAATTGTTCGGTTACAACGTTATGACGGCGGAACAGCTGATAAACTTCCGCGTATACTCGCCCTTCGACGGGGTCAGTGACCTATTATTCAAGGACACCACCAATGGTCTTACGGCACCCACCTTGGAGACCGGACACCAACCAGCTAGGAACTATATAGAGATGTTTAGACATCTCGACGCTTGCACCAGTTCGGCTCCAACTACCCCCGCCCCTGGAAGCGCTAAAAGAATTTATATTTCATTCTTCACTTTAGCTATGATGGCTCTCACCGCTCGTATGATGGCCGACTAATAAATTTTAATAAAAGCAACAAGTATTTATTGTGTATTCAATACGGCATTGTATAAGAACTAAATTACATTTGCCAATTTTTAAAAAACGTGACAGATGATACAATAAGTTATTAAGGCCGTATATTATTATAATAGTTTTTGAATCCATAAATATCTTTATAATTATAGTTAAAATTAGTGTTTAACATTACATGTCAATCAAATAAAGCCGAATTTACATGATAAAAGTTGTTGCATGAAACTAGTTTCACTGCGTTAATTGTGCAATTACTCGTAAAAATCCAGTAGGCAATTCTGCTAATGTTTACGTAATAATATCATCTCAATAGAATCTCAACTACTTGCATTCTGCCATTGTACTATTTGAAGTCAAATATTATTATACAGGGTTATGGGAAATTAAACCAGATCCTTTTAAGTGGTCGTAAGGGAAGCCATTTACAATTATTGTCACCTCACATTATGTATCCGAAAATGAGTCATTTTTGTGATAAATTGTATTTTTTATACTGTAAAAAAGTCGAAAAAAAATGGTCAGAATCTAATTTTCTTGACAGTTTTGGAGAGATAACATTCCAGTTCGTGATAAATAATAATAAAACCCAAATAATCTTGACCCAAACAGAAACTACAGAGTTTTAAATTAAAAAAAAAGTTTTTTATTCTTGTAAATTTGCAAACAAAAGTGCATTTAAAAAGATGAAAATAATTATAAATGACCTCCCCTGCGACCCCTTAAAAGGATCCGGTCTAATTACCCATAACCCTGTATATCTGTCACTATTTATGTGTGAGGAAAACCTTGCACTAACAATATTGGATTTTAAGAGGATCATACAAAGGCACAATGCTAGTAGTTGAGATTCCATTTTGATGCGATTATTGTGTAAACATTAGTAGATCTAGCCTGCAGTTGTTGCACGATGCACGACACTTAGTAGATACGTGCAACTATGTTCGTTTTCGATAAAATTTGTGTCACGCAACTTTATAAAGCTTCGACGTTGACGGAGCCATGTTTGCACGCCATTACGTTTCACATGTACCAAAATTAGTTTCGTGACACTAGTTTGTAATGTAAATTTGGCTTAATATAATAGCTGTAAGAATTAGAGTACATAGGCATTTATTAAATATTTGGAAACATAAAAATTCACAATTTTTATACATTCAAAGTGATCACAAATATCGTGGAACATCCAGTTATATAAAATTGTTGATAAGGATAAATTAACAAGTCAGTATGCTTGAAGTAGAGAACATTTGAATTAATATTGAAGACTAAGTTGTATACAAATTAAATAATCTATAGTCTGATAGACTGTCGCTTTGATTGCTTTAATATTGTCTTTAAGCAATACAAATGACCTTTCCATAATTTTTATGATAAACTTTGTAATGTAATTTAACAATAAAAAAATCTATTAGATTTTTTTTATTCATAATAATATTACTAATCGGTCACTTGTATATATTCCCGTTGTATAATTTTAATTAAATGCAGTATATCTAAATAAAACAATACAACGGCAAAACATACAATCGACAGACGACTACGATCGTTATGCTGTGTAGTAATAAGGTTCATTATGCGTCAATTTATTTATCAGGGTTCTAGTTAACTAATTAATATAATGTCCATCATAAAAAATAAGTCCTTAAAAGCACTACTGTATACATTTTTACACAACTACTTATCATAGGAACAGTATTTTTTATTATTGATGAGATATTTTTGCATACGTTTTTATTTGAAATTTAATGCGATATTGTATTAGGTCAATAAAATACCAGAACGAATGACGTAAATACAGCTATTATTTTATATTTTCCTTTAATTGTTGTATACAATTAGTAATAAAACAATACAGCCTAATATTATAGCATATAAGTTGCGTGTGTACTTGTGACAATATTACCAATTTTCGAAGACTTTTTGTATAAAATAAACTGTTTTAGGTTTAACAATACCATTTTTATTTTTATGAAATAAATGTATTTTTTATTAATTTTGCGATTTCATTTAAATAAATTCAGTGAAATAAAATAACAAACCTGTTTCCATACGTTTATTTCAATACAGTGTTGTTATATGGTTACATGTGTCGTTTTATAAATATTACATCCTGAATGAGAATTATACATCTCAACAGAGATCACATAACAAAGTGATTCACAATTCTCGATAATTATTGCAATAAATTATGCATAGTCACCTGATTTTCTAAGTCACTATATAACTTCATTGATAGTACGACAAAATAGTAGTATACTCCTGATTTTTTTCCTAGGACCAAGAATATACTTTGAAACTTTATCCTAGCTTCGATAATTGTACATAGCAATATTCGATTGTCTTCAATTTTAAGTTCGTCTGATAGCTATATATTGTGTTTAAAGTTACGTATATGGTTCTATAGTGGCTTAGAAACAAAACTGGCTAACTGTACATTTATCTCAGTTCAAAGAATGTTTATCAAAATCGTTCATTCCGTTATATTTTATAATACAACATCTATAAAAGATAGAGTTATTCGGATTGTGCTAAAATTGGATGCAAACATAAATGAATTAAAACATGAGCAGATACGTAACATACTTAAGCAGTAATGATCTTTTTCATGAATTTAATCTAAATTAAAACCCGAAAGGCAACTGTGCTTATTGAAGTGCACAGTTGCCACTCGCCACTGTGCTCATTGAAGTGTATATCGAGCTTCAATATTATAAATACCTTATCCTTTACGTATACACGTTTAAAAAGAAGGTAGGCATTTAGACAGCAAATCCTTATCGAAACACTTGAAACTAAACAGTGACAGACTTGGAAAAAAAGGCGTAATAAACTTTATATCGAGGCACATGATACGCCAGATATTGTTAACATAATTACATCATTATAAGTCTAATTGAAGGCGCTATGTCGCGTTATAGATCTATTATAATAGAAATACCGCGACGGCAAGAACTAACACTTGTTAATCAATTTTTAATTTACATGGTAGTTAAAAAAACTATTAATAAATTCATGTTTCAAGGAAAAATATCTACACAACGTTTCATCCACTATACACATTTCGGTACAGACAATAAGCTTTGTCATCCAAAGCAATAAGTAAAAATATATACTGAACACATTCGTGTTGGCAGCCATAAATAATACAATTATACTAAATTACCTAAGTAAATATACAAAACATAACTAACCTCATCCAAGATATTATTTATTAGTGCCTCTTATACATCCGTTACTGTTAAAATTAAATATTTAAAAAAACTCTTAGTGATAATAATATTTATTTAATTATCGCTACAATATTTACATCTTAATCTAGTAGCCTATATCAAATACGCTTGATAACATAACATTTTGAATAGTTAATATATAAAGAGAACATTTCATCACCGGCTTTTGAATATATCAGTACATAGAGTTATGTAAAATTTGGAGAACCGGCATTTAATGCCAAACTTTTTGTTTATATGTTTTTTTTTTTACTTGTAATCCGACAATAATAAGCTGTTAATAATTTAATGCATTCTGTTATAACGTTAATTGATATGCAACGTTTCATATTTAAACAAAAAACAGATTTTGCTTTAAAAATCGTTGATAAATGCAAAAAAATACAAACGACAGACACTGCTGCCGTTACAAAATATACAAAAAATAAATTTGTATTTATGTGTACGTGTCGGCTCTTTGGTAAATTGCAACTTCATTGTGTATTAATAAGTAACTGAGAAATGTTAATTGGCATTAAAGAAATATGAAAATATATAAATACAACAACATTGTAAATAATAAATCAAAACCTTACTTTTCATTCTCATTTCTCATACAATTGTCGCATGAAGCAAGGTCATTTATTAATTGTGTCCTTGCCATTAGCGTCGCCGGTTACACAAAAACTGTACTAAATGTTACGATTGATCATTTTCTGTATATATCCCTCTTAAATGTTTAACGTTAAAACACTGAGAAAGATTTATCTTATATTATTTCTTAAATATTTAAGAAAAGGTGAACAATCATAACAGTAAAATCAAAAGTGAATTAGATTATGCATTTCTAAATCAGCAATACATGCTACAAATTGTGCTTTATTTTCTTCGCAATACGAGTGACGGACTATCCAAGAGTTGTATTTATATGTGGACAGTGCCGTCATACGTTATTATTCATTCAGTCTTTAAATGAACAAGTACCTCAATAATATAAGCCACATAAGTCTATAAACACATACTCTCGTACAATGACAAGGAACAAACCAGGTACATACCTATATTTACACTGTAAATATACCTGAATTATGTCACCCATATAGATAACAAACTCCTTGAAAATATCATCGTTCACAGTCCAATAATATGTATTAGTTATTCATATAACGCAGAAACGTAGTTAATTTTACAACTTTACCAATATCAGGTCATTGTTCGGTTAAGATGTGGAAACATTGAGAAGTCAAGGAGACACTTCACAGTATTATAAATTAAACTATTTAATAATCCATTAATAAGAGATATAAAAATGTTAGAAGTTCAACAACTCAATTAACATACAACATAATAAACTTTAAACTGTGAGTTACCGTTAGACTATGCTAAGCAGAGTACAATAATTATATGATTTAGGTCACTAAATACAATATAGGAACGATTCACCTAAAATAAAAAATAAAAAATTGTGAACTAAACTTAGCATAGTCTTAAAATGACACATAGCCTAAGGCGTTCATAATAGATAGACATCAAGACTTCATCAAGATAAGGTTTTAAACGAAAATAAACTTAATTATGAATCACAAAGGGTCATTTTTTAACATTCACAGTGTCAGCTGTTTTAAACGTGGTCAAAATAGAATAATAGAATATAATGAAACGTTCACTTTTGATACATTTAAAAGTGACATCGACATTATGTATGTCGAGGGTTTACCGCGAATGCCATGATATATTTAAAATGTCACAAATGTGAACGAATCCTTAGGAGTGGGTTTTTTAATAATCGGAACTGGTAAACTATATTTACCTAATTCTCGGCTTGATACTATTTTATGTACTTTCAGTATGTTAGGGATTCTACTTTATTATTGACTATAGTA